TTTCTCAGATAATTAGAGATACTGACCACAATGAAAGACATGCTTAGTGACAGATACAGATTAAAAAAAAAAAAAATACAGGAGCTTAGGAAAATGATGGAGGCCACAAATCCCCAACACAAGAAAGAAATGGAATCCATCAAACAGATCCAAACTGATATCCAGGAGATAAAAATTCCACCGAAAGTGTACCCAGCAGGAAGGGCCAACATGAGGGTGGAGTTCCAGATACAGAAGACAGGACTGCAACTACTGACCATAAAAAGAAAGATTTTTTCAAAATCAGCAAGGGACCACAAGAAATCAACCCAGCAGCTGCTAGATGATGCAAAAAGTATAACAGTATTAATTAGAGTCAATGAAAAAGCAGGAGACAACGCAAATGAGCTAAAAAACCTGCCCAGAGATGTCATGGCAGAAAACTTACCTGACAGAGAAAAAGAATCTGACATCCAGAAAAGTCAGGCATGTGAAACTCCACTTAGCCATAATCAAAAAATAGAAAGCTTACAGCAAGACATATAATAGTCATTATTCTTGAAACTCAACACAAGAACAGAATATTTAAAACTGTTAAGAGAAAAGAAGCAAATGACCTACAAAGGCAATACCACCGGCATCACAGCTGACTTCTCCACACAAACCCTCAAGTCAAGGAGAGCTTGGAGTGAAGTTTTTCAAGCCTTAAAGAAAACAACAGGGTTGGGGAGACAGCTCAGTGGTTTAAGTGCCTGCCAGGCAAGTGCAAGGTCCTAAGCTCGATCCCTAGTACAGAAAGAAAGACAGGCAGGCAGGCAGGCAGGCAGGCAGGCAGGCAGGCAGACAAGCTTCATCCCAGACTCTGATGTATCCCACAAAACTATCTTTCAAAACTGATGGAGAAATAAGATACTTCCATGACAGAACACCTGAGGAAATTCATGAATATCAAATCAGCCTCCAAAATGTTCTAAAGGACATTCTAGAAAGAGATAATGAGGACTACAACTCCATGAACCCCAAAAGAATGAATTCACCAGGCAAACAAGTATACAAAGCAGAAAAAAAGGCACCAACAACAGGAAAATAACATGATAAGAACTAATCAATGCATATGTTATAACCACCATGTAAATAAACAGTCTCAGTCACAAAAAGAAACAGACTGTCTCAGGAAGCAAGATCCAACTATATGCTGCAAACAAGAAACACATCTGACTGATTACCTTCCACCCATCCTGTTGCAGTCTTTTCTTTCAATACCCCCAAACTCGATCCTTTGACCCCACCAAGATCTTCAAATGATTGATCTTACCACTTCTTAAACTAATCTCCATTCTGGGTATGTGGCACATGCTAATGATCTCAGCACTCGGGAGGCTGAGGCAGGAGGAACACTGTGAATTCAAGACCAACCTGCTCTACAGAGTGAGTTTAAGGCCAGCCTGAACTGCATAATGAAACTCTGCCTCAAAAAGACAAAAACAAAAAGCAAACAAACAAACAAACTAATCTTTACTCTTCCCTGTCTTTACTTTCCTTCTTACCTATGGAACATAAATTCCAAGGCCAACCATTATAACCATTTCCTTGAATACACCCTCAACTTGCCTCTTTCACTACACCAAACCACACCCCTTCCCAGTTAAATATAAAATGTTCTCCCTTGTCTACACATGTGTGTGAGAAAATACACACAGCCACATTAATATTATTTAAAAGCTACATGTACATTTAATTTTTTATTTTATTTATTTATTTATTTTTACTTATTTGTTTTTTAATATATTTTGGTACAAGGTCTCACTATGCAGTTCAGACTCATAGTGGTCCTCCTGTTTTCAGCCTCCCCAGCGCTGGGATTACAGGCGTGCCCCACCACACCTGGTCTTGGTGGCTGGATCAGCGCACCCACAGTGGGGCTAGCACAGCATGCAGTACTGGGGATCGAACCCTGGTCCCTGCACTTGCCTAAGCAGGCACTTAGTCCGCTGAGCTATCTTGAAGGCCCCACATTTAATTTTTTTTTTTTAAAAGAAGCTCAGAGACATAAAGCAACTATCCAAAGGTTGCACAGCCAGGAAGTGATAGAGGCAGAACTTGCCTAAAATCTTTTCAGTCAATTCTCTCTGACTGCTCATCTTAAAGGCCTGACTTCTACACATGGTACACTTTCATGGACCTGGTTACCTGCAGGTTTCACAGGGTCAGAATTATTACCCCCAGGACAGACAAGGAAGCCAAGGTTCAAAATAAACTAAGATGCTCGCTTAAGTTTCCCTAGATCGCTGAAAGAGCTGAGACCGGGTCTCAGTGATGAACAAGGATGTACCATGCGGCCAGCACGGCCAGCACAGCCCTAGGCACTGGGATACAAAACAGAAGCCTTGCGGAGTACTCATCCTAGTCACAGTGGGTGACATGACTGATGTAAAAGTGGAACGTGTGACAGGGAAGGATGGGCAGGAAGGAGCTGCTGTCAGTGGACTACCAATGACCCCCCAAGAAGGCAGGAGCAGCCCAGAAAGTGGGAACAGGAAGTGCAGTGGCCTTTGCCAGCGGAGGGAGCAGGAGGAGGCAGGAAGTGCTGTCCACGTGGCCAAGGCCCAGAAGGCAGCTGTTGAATGGGAAGAAGGAAAGATACAGCAGAGAAAGGGATCATGCCGGGTCTCTCGGGACATCAGTCTGAAGTACATCATCATCCTGACCACTCCTTCCCAGGGTGAGAGGAACCCACGTTCTTGCCACCACTGCAATCCCTCCTCATTTATAGGTACCTCTGTAAGCAGAGGGTGTGAGCCAGTCACTAGGCCATGTCTCACCATGTTAGAGCTACCCCAGTAGTCACCAGGGGAGGGGCACCAAGAAAAGCAGGCATTAGGAAGAGGAGAGTCCAGTGCCCAAGCCACTACCAGGCGGGAGCTGGTTCTCCTTTTCCAGCTGTCTTCTAAGAGGAGCCATCTGCAGAGATGAAGTTTGGAGCTACACTTACAGGGTTAGGATCTGGGCTCTGCCGCCTGCTAGCTGGGTGAAGCTGGGCAAGTCATTTGACCTCTCTGAACAGATTCCCTCTTCTAAGCAGACAAATGGGGAACAGAGACTGCGGGCAAGGACAGCCCTAAATGCCATGGCTAACACAGCATGGAGTCTTAGCAGGAGTCGGGGGTGACTGCCTCCCCCTCCCTGGCCATCCTGGCCTCTTCTCGCTAACCCTGGCTACCCCAGCCTCCACTAGGGCCATCCAGAAAGCCCAAGGGTCCACCAGTCCCCTTGGCGGGGTGCTCAGCATTAGAGCTGGACACCTGTGTGCTGCTGGACGGCTTTGAGGAAGCTGCACAACCCTTCTGTCCCTTCATTTCCTCATCTGTAGAAAACAACAACAAAAAAGGAAAGGAAGCCAGGCACAGTGGCATTCACCTGTAATCCCAGGCTTCTGGGAGGCTGAGGCAGGATAGCAATTCCTAAGCCAGCCTGCGCAGTTTAGCAATTTAGCAAGACCCTGACTGAAAAACAAAAATGGTAAGGGGATATAGCTCCATACAAGGCTTCGGCTCAACCCCCAGCAGCAGAAGGACCAAGGGCATTCTACCAGCACCTCCCTGCTGGGCTGCGGCGAGGCTTTCTTCCTATGAGACAGGGTCTCACTATGTAGTCCAGGCTGGCCTTAAACTCACTATGGAGCCCAGGTTGGCCTCAGACTTGCTGCGATCCTCCTGCCTCTGCCTCCCAAGGGCTGGGATTACAGGCAAGCACCACAGTGCCTGGCTGTGCTGGGGGCTCTGTTAGATGAACTGCATCCAGTTCCTGAGGTGCTCTGGAAAGAACAAATAATGTGCTCTGGGATCTGATGGGCTACCAGGATCAGGTGCTGCATCCACACACTTCCTGTGTGTCCTCAGGTAAATCTCTGAACCTCTCTGAACCTTGCTTTCTTCATCTGCAAAATGAGTCAAGATGAACCAGGCAGAAAACATCTGTGAGATCAAGGGATACCATGTTCTGCGGAGCACATGGCACTGCGGGATCAAGAGCCAGCTCTCAGCGTGCGCTGCTGTGACTGTTGCTAGCTGTTCACAAAGCCTCTTACCCCACATCCCTCACACTCCTCCTTTGGTGGGAAATCTGAGGCTAGGGATATGGAGGGAGCTGAATCGCCCAAGGCTTTATCTTTGGCGATCTTGGGCTAAGAGAAAGTTCAGGTCTCCTGCCGTCCCTGGGACTACCTGCCTGGGACCCCCCTCCTCAGCAGAACAAGGAGTTGGGCCCCGCCGGGGAGAGGAGGAGGTGGCGCCACCTGCCACCTGCCACCATGCCCACGGTCAACACCGGCGAAGACAAGTGCCCAGAGCCCGATAGAGGGCAGCCATGCGCCCCGATAGTGGCAGGGGCATTGGACCCGAGCACAGGCGAGGACAAGGCTTCGCGTCCGGAGAAAGTGCAATCCGGGTGTTCGTGTCCCCCTCCTCCCACCACCACCACACATACACACTCCTCGGTGCTCCCCACTGCAGAGGCAGGGCCTGCCCTCAGATCCCCGCGCGCCTTCTTCCTGGGTAAGGCCGTCTCCCACCCAGGACTCGCGGTCTCTAGCGTAGGAGCCCCAGTGGCCCCAGGTCCGGAGCCCCAGTGGCCCCAGGTCCGGAACCCCTACCCCGAATCCCTGCGCCAGGTCCAGCAAGTTGTCCCCTGCCCGCCCCTTCCGTGACCCTGCGGGCGCACCTCGCACAAATACGGGGACAGAGTTTGGAGCGCCTTGTGAAGGCTGCAGGACGCGGACAAGATGGCACGAAGGAGCCAGAAGCGCGGGGGTGGGGTCCCAACCTTGCGGCGGTCTCCAGGCCTCTCCCGGACGCACCCCACGGTTCTGCGCCTGGCGGCTCCACTTGCGCCCTAGCAGATCACAGCGCAGCGCAGCCCGGGCCCAGCGGGACCCTGCCCCCGACCCCAGCCCTGCCTGGGAAAGCCAGAGAGGAAAGGAAGAGCCTGCGCACCCCAGAGGCCGAGACCCCCGAGCCACGTACCGTCCTCAGCCGGCTCCTCACCAGCTGTCGTGGTCAGAGGCTGTCAGACCCAAGCACAAGGACGACTTCGGGATCTAGGATGGCCTGGAAGGAAGAGCCGGGCAAACCCCCGTGCTCCCGCCGAGCCGGCCCCTTTAAAGAAACACACGCCCCTTTCCATCCCAGGGCTGGGCCCCAGGGGAGGGGTGGTGCGACCTGAGCAGCTTCCAGGCGTGCTAGGGACCACCCAGATGCTGCCCAGAGAGCAGCCCGGCCCCAAGGCCAGGCGCGGTTAGGAGGGAGCATTGGTACAGGTGTGTGTGTGGGGGGGGGGGTGTCACCATAAGACCACCCTAGTTAACAAAAAAAAAAAACAAACTGAGCAGAAAGCTGCTCCCAGCACTCTGTGGCTGGGCTAGGGACGCACCTCCCCCACCCGGTTAGAAGAGGGCTGGAAGAGTTCCGAGTGCCTGCACCCCATGGAGAGGAAGGGGGTGCGGGCGCAAGCCGGTTTGAAGGTGAGGCCGGATAAAGGCAGGGAGGGGAGGTCGGGACACCCCCAGCGCCACTGGAGATGGCTCCTCCCTTAGGATTCTGGCGTCTGTCAGTGAGGCCATCAGGTGCCACCTCTCAGGATGCCTGTTTGAACAGAGTGGTTTTTTCCGGCCCACACTCACATTCTCATTCTCATTATCTGTCTCTGTCGTCTCTGTCTGTCTCTGTCTCTGTCTCTGTCTCTGTCTCTCTGCCCAAGGCCCCCGTTTCCTCAACAGAGAAGCCTAAGAGGGTCTCAGCCGTGGTAGGGGAGGACCTCAGGGTCCCAGAGCCTCTTCCTAATGCAACTCAAGAAAGCACATGCGTGTGCATCCGTGTCCATCCACCCTCGTGTGCAAGTCAGAATGCAGAGGCCTGCAGAGGTGAACTATCAGTGAATTGTTCCTAAAGGTGGGTGCCAGGCACATGGCTGAAAAGGGAGAAGGTTTCTCTGCAGAGAAGACAGGTCTGACCCTAAAGGAGCACAAACAGGAAGAGAAGGAAAGCAGTTCCCGGGTTCTCCAAGCCTCCAGTGGGCCAGACTCATTGGTGCTTCTGTCTTCTCTCCTTTAGTCCTGGCAAGGCCAAGGAGGCGGTCTTTTTACTTCCATTTTTCATATGAACCAATAACCAGAGAGGATGAGTTGCATTGCCCAACCAAGCTGGGTGACTGAGCCAGGATCTGAACCCAGGCTGTTTGAGTTGAGGCTTTGAGTCCAGAGCATTTAAACCAGGAACAAAAAGGAGCCTGGGTTCCCAAGGGAGGCAGGGGGACAGGTTCCAGTAGGGACAGCCACAGGGTTGGGGGGGGGGCAGCAAGGGTGGGGGTGGCTTTTTCCCTGTAAGCCCCCAGGGCAGGAGTGGGTAGGATAACACTGGTTCCAAGCTTAGGCAAGAAGAGGTACATTTGCAGAGGCCATGGATGGGAAGGTGCACCCTGGAAATGGAAGAGACTGCTCAGGAGGGGAGCCAAAGGGAGGGGACCCAGTGAAACCTGCAGGGATGGGGACAGTCAGAAGTCCACACAGGTGAGAGGAAGGAGTAAGAGCTGACCTCTCTCCTGAGCCAGGCAACAGCCTTGTCACCATTGTCCGCCATGCTGCCCAGCCCCCCAAAGACAGCCTGCAAAAATACCCGATGTGGTAAAGGTGCACCAGCTACAACACGGGAGCAGAGCTGTTTCCTTCTGCAGACTCCTGGGTCTGGCAGGCCCCAGCTACACTGGGTCACTGTCTGCTGCTCCCCAGGAGACTGGAGCAGGGCTAGGGTAGCACAGGCTCAAGGGACACATGCAGAGGCCAGCAACCCCAGAAAGACTCCCAACCTGATGCACACAGCTCGCCAGAAGGCAGTGTCCAGCACTGCTGGGCCTTTCCTTGTGTCCCTGCCAGCCTCAGCCCCACCCACCCTCTGGTGGTCACGTGGCTGACCTCCTGCTGCCCAGAGGCAGCCTGTGAAGTCTCAGCCCAGCTCCCAGAACTTGGTCAGGACAACATATCTTGCAAACTTAGGTGGTCTGGGCCAGGCTGGGCTGGGGGTAGACTTCAGCCACAAAGCCCTTCCTTGCTTGGCACGCGGAAACCCAGAGCTCCAGACCCAGCACCCGCAGCACAAGGAAGCTGGCGTGGGGATGCACACTCATGAACACAGGAGGCCATCTGAGCTTAGCCTGGGCAATTTAGAAAGAGCCCATCTCAAAAATCAAGAGGGCTCAATGTGAAGTTTCCTCCCTCAGTAGAGAGGGGAGGGCTGGTTTCACTGGCTACTTTCCCAGCTAGTCAGCGGCTCCGGATCCTCCAGCCTGCCACCCCCTTTCCTGGCTTACCAGATCTCTGCACCGGAGAGGCAAAGGACCCCTTTTATGCCAGCCCTGGAGCACCCAGGGCAGTGCTGAGCCAGGAGGCCCCATGCCCACCGGGCAGTGCCCTATGCCCTCCCTCCTCTACCCCCACCGGGCCTGCCAGAATCCTGGAAGCAGCCCAGGCTCTGCAGGCTCCTAACAGTTTCTGCAGCCCAGCGCTCCTGATTGCAGACTGGGGAAATCGCTGGAGGGGAAGCCAGCAGTGGCCGACAGTCTTCCTGGCGTGGGAAGGAGGCAGCGGCATTCCAGGAGGCAGCCCCAGTGCCAGGCACTCCTTGGCCCCAAACCAAGTGGCAGCTGTGGCAAAGCCAGACAGGGATGGGGATGGGAAAGGAGGGAAGAGGTGAGTCAGAGCCCCTATCCCAGGGCCCCTCCTCCTGCCACTTTATGTGGAGAATCCAGGAGTGCAGGTGAGGGGCCTGCACCCCCAGTAAACCCTTTGGGAGGAGTGATGCCACGCAATGAGCAAGCACAGTCGAGTTCCAGTGGCGAGTACAGATATATTTCAGAAGCTGCCTGCGGCCTGGGCAAGGAGCCACCCTGCCCATCCTGCCCACCTGCTGGGCACCAGGCTGGCTTCAGTCTCCTGTCTCTCCGCAGCCCTGGTGCCCCTTTTGTCCTCCTCCCAGGGACAGGGTCAAGAGGGGTCTCCGGTAGATGAGGGGTCAGGGCGGTGCAGAGTGGGGTGGCAGCGTGCATCCTGGGCTGTAATCCTGGCCCACTGTCTGGGTTGGGGGACTCCATCTGGAGTCAATCCAGCATCGGGGTCCCTGGATCTGAGAGGTGCCAAAAAGCCACCCGCCTGACTCGGTATGTAGCCCAATGAATCCCAACTGATACCCTCAGACAGCCTGAGAAACAAGGTGGGATGGGAGGCCTTGGAGCTGGAAGGAAAGGGGAGGGAGGGCGACAGCGCAGGGGCCTCCCCTAAGGCCCATCCCTCTCCATCCCCAGCTCCCACTGCCACTGGAGGGGGATGATAAGGCAGCAGGCCACAGCAGGCAGGAGCAGGGTGTCCCTCAGACTTGACCTATGGGCAAGTGCTAACAGCCCAGCAGCTCCAGGCGCAGGGTGATGCGGTTGTGCCAGGACACGGGCAGCACGCGCACGTAGCGCGCGAACAAGGGCGTCTCAAACACGTTCTTCTTATGGGAGTTGTTGTCCAAGTTGCCGAGGAAGATCTGGAAGCAGGAAGGTGCAGGGGGCACCCAAGTCAGCCCCTTTCCCTCCAGGCCCTGAGGCCACACACCCCCATAGCAAGTGGAGGGCGACAGGCACCCACCTTGCTGTCCGTGGCCCCTGGCTCCTTGTATTCAGTCCAGTTGATGCCATTGTTGCTGTAGGCCACTTTGTAGGAAGCTACATACTGGATGTGGCCCATGTCACGGGCGCCCTGAGTAATGATCCCCGTCACCTGCTTCTCAGAGCCCAGGTCAACCTACAGGAGACACCACCATGAGTCCTTTGCTGGGAACACTGGGAAGGCAGAAGGAGGCAGAAGCCCCGGGGCACACCACAGGGACCCCTCCTTCCTTGGCTGGGCCTCAGCTGCCTCATGAACAAAATGGACACAAAGCACACCAGGCCCCTGGCGGCCCGCAGCAATGGGCATGTCCCTGTAGCGAAGCTCCTAGTTCAGTCTGGGCCCTGCTAACTCCACGCCCAGCCCTGCCTCAGCTGTGTACCAGGGGACAATAGAGAAGGGACAGGAGTTGCCACAGCCTGCGGTGGGACAGACTGCTTTGAGGTCCCCTATGCCACTCCACCTGAGCACTCAGCACCCCTCAACACCCTCCCACAACCATCCTGGGACAGACAGGCCCAAGGTCCAGATACCAGGGACTCGGTGTCCCCAACTAGAACACAAGCTCTGGCTCCGCCATTCTTGTGTCTTCCAATTACACCAAGTCAGAGGGCATCGGCTCAGTGCTCAAGTTGGGAGGAGGGGGTTCCTGCGACACCTGGGCTTGGCATCCCCCCGTGTCCTTGTCAACCCTGTGGCAGCTACTGCAGGAGGCTCTGCGCTACACACAAGACACACACACACACATACACACACACACACACACACACACACACACACACTTTTTCCCACGTGCAAACAGACAAAGAGAAAGGTGGACCCATAGGAGGAAGAGTGTGGAAAGCCAGAGAAAAGCACAGCATTGCGGAACCTGCAGGGAGCAGAAGCCGGGCCTGACACCCACCTGCAGCCACTCGGTGCCATTGGGCGAGTTGCCCTGTGCGGTCCAGGCATTGATCTTGCCCTGATTGTCCAGCCGGGCAAAGAAGGGAAACCAGCTCAAGGCTCGCAGCCCCCACATCTTGTAGCTGCTGGAGGCTGTAATCTGCCTGTCGGGGATGGTGTGGTCCTTCAGGCCCAGGGGTTCAGAGCACCCTGCCGGCAAGGGGAGCTGTCACCCCATCTGAGATCCGCAGCTCCCAGGGTGGGGGCACAAATCCACAAAGGGGAAAGAGCAGAGAGGGTGTGGATCCTGAACTGCCCCTGATTTTTATTTTTGTTTTTGTTTTTTTTTTTCAGACAGGGCCTCCTTACATTTCCCAGACTGACTTTTATTTTTGTTTTTGTTTTTTAGGGAAGGGTTTACAGGATGTTCAGGGTCTCACTACTAGATCGGACTCATAGTGATCTGCCTGTTTACAGCCTCCCAGGAGTTGGGATTACAGGGGCATGCCACCAAGCCCAGTCTCAATTGCTGTCTCAGGGCGCCCCAGGGGTGGGGACAGAGCAGGCCAGGGTGACCCAACACCCCCACCCCCACACACCCCTCGGCCTGCTTGCAGGCACTTTAATCTGCTGAGCTTTTTGGCTGGCCCTCCCAGACTGACTTTGAACTCCCAGGCTTGAGCAATTTTCCTGCCTCAGCCTCCCAAGCAGCTGGGACTAGAGGTGCTACCCTCATACCCAGGCTGTCACCCTCTTGGCAAGAGGAAGAAGCTCCATCCAAAGACCTCGCCTACCTGGCCGTTCTCTCATCACCTAGCCTGCCCGCCTCAGCCCCTTCACCCCAACCAGTGCCTCGCAGACCGCACAAACCCCCACCCGCCATTCCTCGCCTAGGGTCCAAGGCACCCAGCCGCGCTACCTCCACCCTCCTTCAGGACCCTGCCCGGGAGACTCCACAGTGCCTCCTCGCCTGCGCAGCACCCCCAGCTGCGCCACGGGGCTTTGGGATTCTCTTCACAGACACTTAAGACAACTGTCACAGCTGTCTTATGCTCATCCCACTTCATCCACTGAGCTGCCAACAGTGACAGCTCAGAGGCTGAGGCAGGCAGCACCCAGCTGTGCAGACCCACTGCAAAAGGCTCAGCCACATGCCTGATGACACCCCTGCAGCCAGTAGTTAGTGGAAGGAGAACTCTGGGGCCCCGGGGGCCCCTGAGCCCTACGCTAGGTGAACCCCATTAGCACCTACCTATGCATCTGCACACATTGACGCCTGTGCACTGTCGCACCCACGGGCAGCCCTGTGCTCACATGCACCCGAGCCTCTCCTGCCCCTGGGAGGCAAGGCCACCCCGCCACCCACAGGGGGTGCTCATGGCCTTGGGTAGAGCCAGTAATGATAAGAGACAAAGCGCCCAGGCTGAGAAAGCGAGGGGCAGGCCCCGAGGAGAAGCCATGGGCCTGCCTCTGCCTCTCAGCTGGTACCTCAATTTCCTTTCACTCCCTGCTTAAAATATAACTTGAAAGGCAGTGGGCCCTGGGGTCAACCTAGGTCCAAACAGAGATGGGGACCAAGTGTAGAATGCACTTCTGTAATCCTAGCACTCTGGGAGGCTGAGGCAGGAGGATCACAAGTTCAACTCAACTCCAGCCTAGGCAACTTAGCAATTAC